AGGCGGACACATCAGCAGAGACGTATTGATAAATCAAGGCCACACTCCTCCTCATCCAGCCAAGACACGAGTCAGCATGAAGAGCTGGAAGATCAATAGCTGCACAGCTTCAGTCAGTGAGAGGACAACCCAGAGCTGGGCGGATCAATCGGCCTGCTCCAGAGCTAATTGTGTCATTAATTATTGATGGTAACAACTGACAGTTATTGACAAAGCCTGAGACAGCTTACATATACGGCATGGTCATGTTAACAGAGTGATGGGTTTGTGTTTTTATTCTTCTCCACTTTGATTCATTTCCCTTTGTGCTGGAAAGAAAGGTGAAAAAATCTCAGCCTCTCTGGAGCTCTGTTGTGGAAAAAAACTGAATGTTTTATTGCGGTAACAACGGGTTGTTAAGAGAAGCGTAACATAAAGGCAGCAGCTGCAGTTTCACATTGTTTCAATTCCTAATTCATGATTTATGGCACTTTACAACAGCGTTTGAGTAATGCAGTATTGAAAAGTTCAGTTTTTCCAGGTCATTCAGTGTGTAGTTGAAACCAGATGATTACACACTTCTGTTTCTTACCAACTGAGGTTAAATCAGACTAAATGGCTCGTTTCAGGTCAGTCAGAATACCAACATTATTTGTATTTGGGAAATGCCTCAATGAGAGAAAGAATACGTCAGAGATTATTGTACTTTTTGTCAAAATCAGAAGTTTGTCTACATTTTCCTAGCATTTTTAACTATGACTTGTGGGAAACCTTTTGGGTTTCTTTCCACAAACACTATAATTATGAGCCTTTGAAGTGGTCTAGTCAAATAAATTCAACTGAGATGGTTTTTTGTATTAATAGTTAAAATCATCATTTGAAAATACAATTTCTGTTTGCAAAACATTGTTTGATCATTTGTTACATTTAATTGTGATAAAATGAAGGAAAGAGAGTAATTTTTTCCCCACAGCTTCAGATGAGGAATTTATTCTCTAGAAAAAGGAAACTATTTTTGAAAATTGGCAAATATTAAGCATATTTGTGGAGTGTCAAGGCAAATACTCCAGGTGAGTTTTGTGTGAATGTACCTGAGAATGTCATTGAGTGCATGTCATCATAAACTTAAAATACAAAGATCCTCAGTTAAAACGTGGTTTTTATACATGCTTACTTATTTGGTGCAGAAAACTTCTTGAAAATTGATCAATTCACTGTTATTACTGGGGAATGTAAAAAGAAAAATAATAATCCTCTGTGTTCACTAGGGGGCTCCACACATTCAACAACTACTTTCCCCAATTTTCTTCCAACTTTACAATTTGTTTCAAAACTATATTCAACTTTCTCATTACAAGGCAGCAAAAGAAAAACTAAAAACTATTTATCTTTATTTATACAGTGTCATTATTGTCTTAGATTACACAGGTACTTGGTATCTTGATATAAATGTGTATTTTGTGTATTTTTTTATGATTTCTGCCTGCATAATAATACAAAACATATGGACAAATTTACCCAGAAGTAGTTCAACAGACACAAAATTAAACATATTCCATAGCCATCTTTATCTCCAGGCCCAAATCCTGCAGAAAACCTGTAGGATGAGCTGAAGAGAAGAAAGCATACTGAAAATATTTCTGAGGACAGAGTGATTTTGCAACAACGAAAGGTCAAAAGTTTTTGTTTGTGCTCTGAACTTTTGAAGGCGAACACTAAATGTCGCCCATGTGGAAAAAAGGGGCATACGAAGAGGAATTTGAAGAACCTCCGATGTCAAAGGAAACATAAAAAACAACTTATTCCGGTTTTCTTGCATTTATTTTAGGAGGATTTTCATCAGTCCTGGGTTTTCTGAAGCATCAATTACTTTAATATGTATTAATTTGATGAATTTGTATGATAATCAAGGATATACAGTGTGACAAAACAGTCAAACTCACATATCCATATGAGCCTCAACATATGACAGATGAAGAGGGCTCTTGTGTTTACAGTAGAGTATAGGGATATTTTTATAAAGCATAGCATCTTAAATGTGGAAATCTACATATATTTTTAGAAAAGAGATCATGAAAGCTGAAAATTATAGTAATTAAAATGCACTTATTTAAATTTGAACATTTTATTTTAAATTATTGACTGAAATACTTTGTGAAGGACAAAATTAAACAAAAAATTCAGCACCAGATACATCAGCTTCACCAAATCAAATAGCAGAAAAAAGATGATAATAATAATAAAAAAAATACACACTTGGACAGAAACATAATAAAAAATGGCGCTCCAAGATTATTTACATAATTCATGATCAAGAATGACCTGCCCCGGAAAAGCGGTGTGCAGTAACGACTCAGTGTGGCCACTAGATGGCAGACCACTCTTTCCTCATCGTCTGAAGACATTTTACATTGTGCAGATTTATTAAGTCATGTCATGATTTCCTAAATAAATGTGCATGTAATCTGTACTTGTCACCATTGTTGGCGTTTAAATACCTGGGGTTTCAACAATGATTTTCAAATAACTTTATTTCCAATAAAATGCCCTAGATTATGTTAAAGATCATTTTAAAAAACACATTTATAAATATAGTTTAGATTAAACGCATCAAAAGAAATTCTTGGCAAAAATATAAATATTTGAAAGCTTAAGTTTTTAGTTTTTTTTTTCTTTAAATAAAATTTCACAGCAATAATCCCAGTCCTTAAATCTAAAACGAATGGATTTCTTTTCATCTTTCATCCAAAAGCTAATTTTTGAACATGCAAATAGCAGGCTTATGAATTGTAACCAGAACAATCACACTATTGGAGCTGCTATGGTCACTGATAGGGTCACATGACATACTCAACCTACCCTCAGTTTAGTTCAGCATTTGAGTCTTTGAGGCTGGAACGAAGCATAAAGATGCCAACATGTGACCAGTTACAAGGTACGAATGGGTGTAAAACTACCTGGGCAATAATATCTGTACTGTAGGTGTTAGAAAGACGAAATCTGAGGTTAGACTCAAAGTAGCTAAAGTAGCTGCTCTCCTGTGTTGGGTCGTCTATTTGTGTAGCTGCTGTTTACTTTCTCCAACGTTGAGGCCTGACTGTTCATCGCTGCATTGGAACGATCATCCGACAGTACTGAGTTTGTGTTTGAGTGTTTTATTCCCCAGGAAGTGTCTTATTTAAGATACTACGCCAAGCTGCTGTTTTACCTGACTGATAATATATGCAAGAACAACGAGTTAGAATATGTCTTCTTTCTCAGTGAAGATTCATTCACTCTAATCATTTCTCAAGAAGAAGTGGATTGGGCTCATCAAGGGGTGGAATATATTTACTTGAAGGTACAATAATGAAAAAGTGCAAATATTAAAAACAAATTCCTGGGATATAAGCCTTTTAATGAGTCCACAACAACTATCAATGGACAATGATAAGAGTTTCACACAGAGGAGTTCAGACCTCATTTCTTGAGAGATATTAAAAGTTGTAGGACATTTAATACTTTTAAACACTAAAATGCAAGTGCAAACTGAGATAATATCCAGCTGCCTAATCTAGCACCAGGCAAATAGGTTTTGCCTGTTAACTAGGCTGCTCTAAGACGTTGTTTTTATTTTACAAGAAAACCACAAAGCTGCTTAACAACATGCAATTCCTTTTTGAGACACTGAACGCACAAAGTTAATTTGTGGGTATTATCTTTTTAAACAAGGCGTTTTTCCATAAAATGTCGTGTCATTTATTAAAAGCAAAGCGGATCCTCCTTCAGGCAGCAGACAAAGGCACAACAAGTTTGTGTTTTGACTGAAAATTGTGTAAGAAGCTTTTACTGTCAGTTCTCACAGCCATCAGTGCTTAAACAAATTACACAAAGGAACTTGGGAATCTGGTAAAAAGAAAACAAACAAAAAAGCAAAAACAACTCTGTTGTTGGTGACCATAATTGAAACCTGTAGACAAGGCTGGCAATATGACCATGTGTTAAGATTTGTTTTGGTTCCTTTTGTTCTTGTCAAGCAGCTGTTCCCACGTTCAGAAGTGAACTTTATCACCCAAACAAAGGCTTCACATGTTTATGCTGCTCACAAATTATAAACTTTCTGAACAAGAAAACAAGATCAAATGTTTTGATACACCACCAGTGACTTATGGTTATCTGTTCTGATAAATATATTCAAAAAAATATTTATTTTTTTATGCACAAAAAATAAATATCCATAGAAAAGCTGTCTTGTCTCTCTCATCATACATGAAGGTTATGTTTATGAAGTATAAAACAAAATAATGAATTGTAAAATTAATAATAAAATGTTAAATGTAAGGTATAATAATATGAAGGTAAACAAGACTTAATAATAATAATAATAATAATAATAATAATAATAATAATAATAATAATAATAATAATAATTTTGATATTTATGGAAAGAAATGCAGTTTAAATACTACTACGTTATTTAAAAATGGAAATAAAACATTTTTGGGTCTTAATAAACAATAAGAAATAATACAGCTAACATTAAGAATCATAAAAATCTAAAAGATATCATATCTGTAATAGTAATATGACTTTAATATAATACTTATGAAAAATTGCACAAAATATTTACACTACCTTTACTGTCCACTAGGTGTCAGATTTTGACAAACCTTTAATCAGTTTAGATCTGCTCTGTTTATCGTTAGCAGAGAGACTGTAGGCAAAAGGTAACATTATGTTTATGGGACCAAAGTACTGTACAGTGTGAACTATAAACATTATATTTAGGTGCAAACTGCTGACTTAGTCTTTAATTTAGACTAGCCAGCAAGGCTGCGTTTACTCTGCTTTTGTTGAATTGCTTGCATAAAGAGAAAAATGTGGGTGTATGTATTCTCCCGGAATAGAGTTGTTTCTGTGTGGTGACTCCTGTCTGCCTCTGCCTCTCTCTCTCTCTCTCTCTCTCTCTCTCTTTCTCTCTCTCTCGTGCGTCTGATGTCACCGTGCTGCCACACGCACCTGCGGGTTTGGCAGCAGCGGGATCCAGCCTTCTGGGAGGGTCGTGACTGCCCAGCGGAGGCGCGGCCAAGAGCGCAGCCAAACAATTTATTTAACCACCCTTGGATTATCGCTTCGTCAAACCGGGAGGCTATTCCTCCACCGAAACACCTGGCGGTACCCCACCCCCGTTTCCTCCTCCTCCAATCAACACCCCCTGTCTGTTCGAAGATGGTTTTCAAGGAAGATGCGCCGCTCTGAAATTCCCATTGACCTTCGGATCTTCTCAGCGGCGGCGCCAGCACCGAGCGACGCGCTGCTGCCGCTATCTCCTCCTAACACTCCCTGCTCTCTCTGACCGCCTCACTATCGTTGGATCCCTTGATTTTTTTTATTCCTCCTAAACAAACAAGACTGAGGCAGATGCTCCTCGCTCTGTCATCCCGGCGGCTTGTACTATGGTGGAGTTCCCATCTCTCAGTCCTTACTGGCCTCTCCTCCGCTTCCTGGTGCCTCTGGCTATCACCAATGTTGCCATCGACCTCGGGGAACAGGTAACGCTCCTCTTCTTCAAACACCGCTACAGAAAGCAGCACCCTCCATCCACCATTTCCTCCTCGCTAACAGTTGTTTGTTTCGCGTTAACATCATTTAAAACCAGTGGAACCTCTTCTAAATCTGACGCCGATCGTTCCATACATTTTTATTCGCACGACTGCAGCTATTTTAGCCTGCAGGCTGGTTATTCAACTAAAAGTAAAAAAAAAAAAAAAAAAAGGAGGCCTTTTTACGTCGCTACTGCTGCCATGAAACCCTGTGATTTATTATTTTTCTCACTTGTACTTGACATTATCCTCCTTCTAATTTGTTTATGTATCTTGAGTCAGCTGCATTTGTGGTTTTCAGAGCACAGATTAGTCCTGTAATTGTCATGTTTTCTGGTTTGGATATTTCCTGCCTCAGATGGGTTTATCTGATGGCATAAAACACACACTGAGGCTTGGAGATGTCAGGATTATGCTTATGTAATGGTTCTGTAGGATGGTATAAATAGCACACACACACACACACCAGGAAAGTGGAAATGGGGGGCAGCTGTTGTCACTGCTATCCTGAAGTTAAAGGGTGTTCTTAAAGTAGCTATAGGTACCATTTACTCAATTTTTAAAAAGTAAAATCCCACAGTAATAATTCCAGGTGCTTGAATAGGAAGCAACAGGATTGCTCATGTTTTCTGAAAGACTTTTACCTCTTTCTTAACGTGGTTTAGAAGTACCAGGATTATAAATTGTAGTTGGAACAATCAAGCCTTTAGAGCTCTGAAGGTAACGTAGCTTAGTGAACCCACTCTCGGTTTGGGTCTTTGTCACTGGATCCAAACATGTCACAACGGTTCCAGATAACCAGTGGTTTGCAGGACTGTTAGGAGAAGTTGCCTTCTGTTCAGAGATAATGTTAGACAAAGTCATGCCACTGCTCTGAGCTTATCTCCTCTTCAATGTTTCCACATATTTGTCATCTTACAGCTACAAGCCTTGATGTGCTTTGTTGGGATTTTGCGTGACAGCTCATATTTGTGAAGCAGATGATGCAGCATGATGGTGCCATTGCCATGTTTTACGGCAGGAGTTTGCTACCTGAGTCTCCAGAGCTGCGAGTCGCTCATTGGACCATTTACAATAGTTCTTAATAACTTAGGCTAAAATCAACTAATTGTTTTAAATAATTAGTTATTATTATTTAAATAATCATCTGAAACAAGTTTTCAGTGTTTCATTTGAACAAAAGGGACCAGTAGTGTTTTTTTTTTTACATAATTTTCTGCACATTGAATTATCCCATTCGAAAAATATATCCATCTTCTTTGCTTTTTTTTTATTTTTATACTTAAAAATAGAAATTAAGTGTTTACCACTGCAATGTATGGTTTCTTTCTGTTGTTTCAAGTTTTTCATCTTATAAAGCACTTTGAATGATCTGGTTGCCAAAATGTCTACAAATTTAGTAAATATTTATCAAAAACTTTAAAGTTGTTTGGTTATAAACAGCTTAGTGGTTGCTGGACTGAAAGCAAAAATGGCTACTTGGATTGCAAAGTTTGCAAATCTCTGCTTTAGAGTGTCGGCTTTCAAATTAACATTTGAAAATCCATGAAGCACATTTGTATTCAGGCCTCAGTCAACATATTCTGGAACCTGCTTTGCTTCATTTTTGAAGGTTTGTCTTTGCAGATGTTTTTCATTTTTGCCTTTTATGTCTTTGGATGCCTGGAGAGCAGCAGTTTTCTCATTTTGTCACAGACTCCTAGTTGGACTTGGGTCGTTTTATCTCCAACTCTTCAAGAGTTAAAATCCTGCAACCTTTTGATGCATTTCTGCACCAACACACCTGAATCAAATGAATGACACGTTAGCAGACCTTTGTACAACTAGATGCTGTGCTGAAGGGGTAATTCAGTGATTTCTTTCAGCTGTGTTATTTCAGAGGTGTAATTATGATGCATTTTATTTTAACTTGGAAATGGAAAATTCCAACTTCTCAGTCAAAAATTCTGAGGAACTCCGGCTACCTTCACTGCTAACGACTTGTAAGGCTGACTTTGCTTTTCAATATGGCCTCAACAGTAGAAAAACTAGGTGAGATCATGTTTGTTTTACAGGCTGTGTGTGTTAGTGACATTTAAATGTCACATGACTTCTGCTATTCTAAATTGAACAAACTAAAAGTGGTGTTTTTGTATGGAATAAAGCTTAAGATGACTTCTTTAAGAGGTACTGAAGACAATGTTTATGGGCGCCACCATATTGAAATTCTGACTTTTTAATAAGGACACTGACCTCAAAACTCAACTTCAAATCCCAGTTACCACTTTACAGAAAACTGGAACACAAAATTAAAACATATTGCCTTTTTATTTAAGCTCTTGTCTGCTTAGGTTTATTTTCCTGCTGGAAGATGAACCTCCACTCCTTATGTCTGTTGCAGTCTTAAACAGCATTTCTCACAGGATTCACTTGTGTTTATCTCCTCCATTGTTATATCAACTCCAACCAGCTTCCCTGGCCCTACTAAAGATAATGATGATGATGGTTTTGGGGATGATGTGTTCAGAATGATCTGCAGTGTTATTTTCTGAAAATCCAAGAACTTCAACTTTGATCTCATTGAACAAAACATCTTCTCTCCATGCCAAATAAAACATTTTTCTAACATAAAGGCCAGATTTATGAGCACGACTAAAGGTTGTCCTGGTAAAAGAATACTCCACCCTATAGCTGTTGATCTTTGCAGCTCCTCCAGCCTGTGGGGCCTTCATAAAACAGCTTTATCAGATAAAGTGAACTCTATAAACTAATTCAATTTCTTCTTTGTCAATTGCTTTCACTGGATTGTATATCATATTAAAACCATCTTTCTGCTTCTTTGCTCTTCACAATTAACTTAAAATGCATTTAAACCAGTATTCGCTACTGTTAAAAAGTTCAGGGTGTGATTACTTTAAGATGCCTTTATCTGAACTTATCTCTGGGCTTCATCTCCTCTGTCCCATCCAGGCTCTCAACAGGGGCATAGCCACAGTCAAGGAGGACACGGTGGAGATGCTGGCCAGCTATGGCTTGGCCTACTCCCTCATGAAGTTCTTCACTGGTCCCATGAGTGACTTCAAGAATGTGGGCTTGGTGTTTGTGAACAGCAGGCGCGACCGGAGGAAGGCTGTGTTGTGTATGCTGACGGCCGGAGTCATCGCCTTCGTCCTCCACATCTTGATAGGTGTGTGTTTAAGGGTTGGGATGATGACACCCTGCATTTAACCGTGTCCTGTAGATATTTTTTTTTGGGTGGATTTAGAAGTTTTTGGTGACAGCTTTATTTCTCTTGGGAGAATTTACAATCAGATTTTTATTTTTCAAAATGGTCAAAAGATCTCTGATCTATTGTCTCCTTCTTTTTTTTCCCTTTAGCATATACAGATTTAGGATACTACATTATCAATAAGCTCCACCAAGTGGATGAATCTGTTGGGGGAAAGACGAGAAAGGCGTTCTTGTACCTAGCTGCATTTCCTTTGCTGGACGCAATGGTGAGTGTTTGGAAAAGTGGGATTAATCCACATGTGGTATCATGTGTTTGAACGCACATGACCTAGAAAGGTTTTAATCCTTTAGTTCTGTTCATTTCTGGTCCCTTCAAATGAAAATAGAAAATGAAAGTTTTAAAAATGTAAAATAATCCTGTTTTTAATTTTTCTTCCAGGCATGGATTCATGCAGGCATCCTCCTCAAGCACAAGTACAGTGTCATTGTGGGTTCTGCCTCCATCTCTGATGTCGTGGCTCAGGTAACGAGATACTTTAGTTTTTTATTCAACGAGAAAAAATGCTTCTTTTCAGAGTTTCTACATATGAATAAATTTGGGACTTTATTCAAGTTCTCCCCAAATCTGGAAAAGGAGGAAAAGAAAATGAATGTTTGATAAATATTAAAATTCTAGGCTTTATTTCTTGTTTTGTTGTTTTGATCATCCATCCATCCACATGTAAAACTCGAGGCCCGGGAGCCAAATCTTGGTCAGCATGAGTTTTTATGTGGCCAAACTTTTTGTTACAAAATTTGGCAAGGAAACGATTTTGCTCATTTGCTGTATTAAAATAAATCCATCTAGTTTTAAATTATTTTGAGGTCGATCAAAGAAATTTATTCTTATTTATAAATCAAGGATTTGATTCACTGTCTTTCAAAATACTTGCTATATTCATCTGAGTTCAATAAATTAAACAAAAGCAGATTTAAGTGCAGAAAACTTAACTTTTATACATTCTGTTTATATCTATTTGGTTGTAAAAAGACATACTTTGTATTGAGTATCTTATAAAAAGTGTGACTTTCTGACATTTGAACTATAACAATCTGCAAATGTTGCAATCCAAAATGTTTTATAATATTAATATTGGACATTAAAAGCTCTGAGTAATTTTGACATGAATAATGTGGTGTTCCTTGCAGATTGTGTTCGTGGCCATTTTCCTGCACAGTAACCTGGAATGCGTGGAGCCCATTCTCATCCCGATCCTCTCCCTGTACATGGGTGCCTTGGTCCGCTTCAGCATCGTCGGTATCGGCTACTACTGCAACATCCATGACAACATTCCAGACTCCAGCGGGCTCGACGTTGGGGTAAATTCTGTCCCTTTGGAAAGAGGAGTTTTTACACGATGTGAAGAATCAAAATAAACAAATTGCTTATTTGTTTCTGCAGGGTGACGCAACAATCAAAAAGATGCTCAGCTTCTGGTGGCCACTGGCGCTCATCTTGGCCACGCAGCGCATCAGCCGACCTATCGTCAACTTGTTTGTGTCTCGAGATCTCAAGGGGTCCGCTGACGCCACAGAGGTGCGTGCATAGACTAGACATCATGCCGGCACCTCATTATCTATGCACATTTAAGATGCTTTTCTAAGCAAAGCTGCTCAATACCTCCTCAATACCTCTTCGGCTGTGTTTGGATGTCTGCACATCTGTACAAAGTCTTAAATTTCTGTGTCTAAAATTAAGGCATTAAAATGTATTGCATTTATCTTAAAAATATAAATGGCCCTAAATATGTTAATCACAGGTCTGAAATTTTGTCGTGGCAGAACTGTTTCATAATGTTTTTTGTTTTTTTCCGTGTGGAACTTTTCTGTCATGTAAAAGTTTGAGTTGCTTTCATACCTCTTCTTTGTTCTGTGACTTGAGGTTTTTGTGGCTACCGCTAACTAGCTCCTAATGTACCCTTGCTAGCTAGTTCAATAGCTTTTTGTTTCTATTACGGGTACAAAGCCAGGTTCTCAGTTTTTGCTATGCTTGATTGTAACATCTCAAGTTCCTCCAACTGTCCCATATATTTATTTATTCTTTTCAATCTTAAAATTCATTCAAAGTGGCATTAAAAAGGTCTTAAGTTTGACTTGCTGAAACCTGCACATACCCTGGATTTCCCCAATTGAAAAGCCAGACTTCCTCTGGAGTGTTCTGCCTCATAAAGGCCAGCGCAGCTACTAGAGACAATAAAAAAAAAAAAAAGCTGTTTACCAAAATGAACTGACTGGAAATAAGTGACAGTGCAGACTGCCAGTGGTTTGTTTGAGTGATTCACCATGCAAATGTTGAACTCATGGCATGATTACACAGCTCGAGAACATTCCTGCATGGCTTTGCTGTTCCTGCCTATTGTCGCTGGCGACACAACGGTGAGCTTCAAGGCGGCTGTCCAGAGATGAATCTCTAAAAAAACTTCTGGGAAAGTGAGAGGCGCCATGTGCGGCTCCCACGCTGGCTGTTGTTAGGTTGCCGAGATGGATTTAGCCGCGTGATATTTTTAGATTTAAAGTGACGGCGAGCGGGTGACTTCTACCTGTCCTGTGTTTGTTATTGCAGGCCGTGGCGGTGCTCACAGCCACATACCCAGTGGGTCACATGCCCTACGGCTGGCTGACGGAGCTCAGAGCTGTGTACCCGGCCTTTGACAAGGTAAAACAGACCCTGCAGTGTTTACAGTTTTATATATTGTAGATGTAGTGTACTGCATGATGACAATTTTACCTTTTTCACAACAGAACAATCCCAGCAACAAGATGAATGCTGGCAGCCCGGTTAACAAATCTCACATTAAGAAGTTTACCTTCTGCTGTCTGGCCCTGTCGCTCACGGTAAGCACAAAAATGTTCACACCCCATAAGAGTTTTCCCCACTTTGTCACATTGCAAACACAAATCTGAATGTGTTTTGTGCTAATTGCGACATACTCTGGGGAAAACCCTATATCCTTCTCCTTGCACTTCTCAATTAGGAAGTGTTTTGTCAGTTTGTTAAATAATATGCTAATTTGCATCAGAGTGAAGGTTTCTGGCTGTAAAATATCAAATTTCCTTCATAGTATGAATGCATGCAGCACTGCACTGTTTTAGCATTTTTTTCGGGGGGTTTTTCCAAATATTTTTGGCAACTGAGATGGACTTGAATTAGACTGACCAAAAACAGGAAGTGGGTTGAGAACATTTGGAATTATGGGAAAAAGAGAGGAAACTGAACAAAATGCAGTTTATTTATATGTCGAGCAATAAAAGCCTAATGTGAAACAGATTTTATGAAATTAATAAAACAACATAATTTATTCGGAGGATGATGTCATGTTTACATCATCCAAGATTTTCAGTGTTCAGATGTTTTCTTGTGTGAACAGTTTGCACCATGTCATGTGTTGTGAAAGTGCAACTGCAAATTAATGTGTATTGAATGAATATTTCAGTACAATAAAACCACAAAACTACTAAAAGCAACTAGAAACCTGCAGGTCACACATAAATGAGCACGTAAGCATGTTTTTGCTGCGTATGTTGAAATCCTTTAGCTTTGAAAAATTTTTATGATTTGACAACTTACTGAACTGGAGCATGTAGCCTCACAGTTGCAGAATTTTTCTTTTACAAGTTAAGGGTTTGTAGAAACTCTGAACTTGAATACTTCATTGGCTTGAGGGGTTGTTTTTGTGTAGAGGTGACAATCTAACGCGTGAAACTGTTTGCTCATAAAAGAGCATCGCTATAGTTGTTTTTGTGATTTGACTGCCAGTTTTTCATCTGAGGACTCGTACAACCAGCCAGGTGTTATCCTGAAATGTGCTGGAATTTCTTTATTCAAGCTGCTTGTAGTCGACTCAGTAAAAAATAAATTCATGCTAAGTAAATTATGAAAATCTTTAGACCTTACAGCTACATATTAATGCTCAGATATGGAGTCTTCATGAAAATGGTCTTGGTGTTGGATTGCAGTGATGCGGGCATCTACATTAGGGTGTTTTTTTTTCTGAAGAGTTTAGCATCAATCCCACCTCAGTTCTCAGCTGTGCAGTTGTGCTTTTGCAGTTATTCAAGTCACTTCTCTGCTCAAGTAAGGAAAAACAGGAAATCTGGGGTAATGTTTTGGTCTATAAAAAAACAAAGGGGAGGAGATTGTCACACCACATGTAGAATGCCAAAGTTGTCAACAAGAACATGAGGGTGTGTGCGGAGATCAACATAATCGTAACGTGTCAAGACCTGCTGTGATTGTGAACTTGTAAAGCAGTTGGAGAAAAAACTGCAGCGGAGCCGTAGTGTGTGTGACGGAGATCAACGTGTAACGTATAATTCAACCTTATGAGAACAAGCTTATCGTTTAGAATGTCTCAGCTTGTTGAGGAGACGCCGCAGTTGAGTCAGAGCAGAAGAAGGTTTTGCCCGAGGCCTTTCAGATTACTCTCATGTGACCGTGTCCAAGTAAAGTAATGACAGATGGTGAAGTAAACCAAAACTACTAATTAGCAAGTAATCCATTCCCACGTTTTGGCTCGGGAGATCGTCCAATCTTTCTGGAATCCTCAACTTTTCAGCTTTGTTTTTTCATTTTTCTGGTTTACCTTCTACCTGCAGCTCAAAGTGAGAATTAGCATCAGCTGAGAAATTGGAAAAACAAGTGATCGGTCTAGTTTCTTCAGCTGGGACTAGTCTGGAAACCAGAGCATTGGGTTTTAAACCCTTCATCAAGCAACTAAAGCTCTTGAAACACCTGAAGTCCTCAACGATTTACATCAGTAGATGTAAATCGATTTACATCAGTAGATTGCACAGACTTCTTATACTGAGAGATATAGTTTAAACACTTCAGTTAGGTTTGTAGCAAATGAAAACTCAAATTCCATTTTCTCTGAAGACTTTAAATTACATGTTTATAAAACATTATGAATTCAGACTTTTGTCACAAAATGCCAGAGATCTTCTACAATTGAGATAAATGTCAGAGATTCTCATCTACTTGTTTTACCAAAGTTCAAGTTGTAGCTCTCATAAGATTATCACTTAAACCAAATGTCTGATGTTATGTCAGAGAATATCTTTGTTTTAAAATTGTAGTTTCTTCCTTTAATCACAGAACAGTGTCCTTTTTTTCCCTTGCAGATTGAAAGTTTTTCAAAAACCTGTCAATATTCTACGTTTTTTTCTTAAGTGTGACATCAATCTAGACATTTCTGGGGGATTTTTGACAGAAAATACTTATTTATGGTATCTGTGGAGTTGGGAGACCCTGGCTGTTCGTAAAGCGTCCAGAGCTTCCTGAATGTCTTAGAGCCTGAGGCTGATCTTCACGCTACAATAAATTGTTTGTTGAGGTTCATGCAAAATGAACCTCAACAAAATGTTGAATTTATATACTGTACAGCACATGCACTGACTTTAATGATGTCGACATTTCTCAGTTCTCAGCTTACGATGATTTTAGTTATTGCTTAATCTGTCAATTATTCTGACGATTAAAAGGATGATTTTATTTACTCTTTAGGCTTCCTTAAACGATTTTAGAAATGCATTTAGATGTGAAAATAAACAATGAAATGTCCTTTTAAAAAAAGAAAAGAAAAATGCTATTGCCTAAAATACAATAACTTAGTATTCCTCTAGAATACGCTTGATAATTTTTTGCTGCATCTGCAGATAAAAGCAATACTCCTAACTCAGTCCTTTCTGCTTGGCTTCACATCAATATAGTGTAGTGCCATCAATTTATATTTTGGATCAATTAACGGGATAGTAAAGATTTTTATTGTTGTTCAGAATTTGAACCAAGTGAAACTAACTTTTGGGCTATTACAAGGGATTTTATTTATTTTATTTTTTTTTTATGAAAAATGTTTATTTTTTTTTATAGTTTGGCCTTAATTACTGCTTTATTTCAGCAAATGGCCTTTTTTTGAAGAGTTTGTATAATCCAGTTAATTAATTGATTACTAAGTTAGCTGGGAATTATTAGATTTATCATGATTAGTCTGATTAATCATTTGAGCCTTGTTTGTTTGTGAAAAGCTTTTGAAAGTGCAGCGGTTTAAAAAGCTTTGCTCTTTGGATCATCTCGAGCCGCTCGCCGTTTTCCATGACTGACTGAATCCACCAGCTATCTGCTGCTGCTCAAAGTTGCAACACTTGACGAGTCATCAGGAAGAGCTTCTGAAGCTGCACTATGATGCATCTGTGTCAGACAAATGCTCTACTTCCCTGTCTTAGTGGAGAGGATAGCGATCGACCGTTTTTTGAATCCATCTGATGGTTTCCAAAACGGGGATGTTTTATTCATGATCAGATGGTTTCCTCCTCGGATGTCCTGATCATGGTGCTTTGAGGTGTGATGCTAATACGACTCGTGCTTCCGCAGCTCCTTTGTTTTGCCAGAGCTTCAAAGGCCTGAAACATTCAGCTGCAGTAAAATCACTAAAGCAGGTCCTGAAGAATAATTGATCCGTTTGTTCCAACGCCCAGCTTTGCTTCGTGCTGTTCTGGACCCCACATGTGTCCGAGAAGATCCTGGTGGACATCATCGGAGTGGAGTACACCTTTGCCACGCTCTGCGTGGCGCCGCTTCGGATCTTCTCCTTCTTCCCAATGCCAGGTGAGGTCACAGGTCATGGCTCAGAGGGCAGGGCTCTGACTGGCCTTGAAATCTGCCTAGATAAATTAACTTGTATCCTAAATCACTGTAACAAACAAATCTACTGCTAAACAAATCCATGTGTTTTGTTTGATGAAATATAGTTTTGTTATTCCACTGCTCAATATAATCTAAGACTGCAGTGCATTTAAAGATCGTGGTGTTGGCGTTTCTCCCTTCTACAGTTTGTGTCCCTGGCCCCCATTAGACACGGCCCTGTGAGATGGGATGTTTCCCTGACCCCCTCCTTCCTCTGTGTGTTTGCAGTGACCGTTCGGGCTCATCTGACAGGATGGCTCATGACCCTGAAAAAGACCTTCGTCCTGGCTCCCAGCTCCGTTCTGCGTATCGTCGTCCTGATCATCAGCCTGGTCGTGTTGCCTTACATGGGGTAAGTGAACACCGCAGAGTTGACATGTAGCACGGCGTTTAGTGCAGCTGCTGAAAAAGAAGAACTCACCTTGTGGAAACGCGATAAAGATTAAATTAATCCCCTGCTGCAGGGTCCACGGGGCCACACTCGGCGTCGGGTCCCTCTTAGCCGGTTTCGTCGGTGAGTCGGCAATGGTCGCCATAGCAGCCGGCTATGTTTATAGACAACAGGTGAGATCACTGCAAACACGTTTTGAGCTTTTTTTTCCACCCCTGTATCTAGAACAAAGAGTTTCCTGCTGTCTTTAATTATAAGTGAGGCGTTCAGGTCGCATGGGAATGTTGACGTTTGTTTTTAGTGATGGCACACAAAGAGGAAAAGTCTGACAGGAAAGCTGGGAGATGTTTATTCTTGGCACTGATGGGATGTTCAAACAGTGGAAAGGATGGTAACCCGACAACATTGTTCAAAGTCTCTGCAAAACAGAAACACAAGCTTCTCTTTTTCTGAAATTAACACATTACTTCTAAAAAAAAGTTTTAACTCATAAAAGTATATAATGCATAAAAAAACAGATCACAATTAAAACATGCAATAAAAAAACAAAATAAATGAGGTTAATATTTTTATTGAATGTCAATTTAATTTTCTAAACATCAGGGATTTTTTTTGTTTTTTTTAAATATTTCATTCATTAACATAGTTGTTTGTACCAGGAAAAAATACAAAACAACCTTCTAACAAAATTAGCAGTAGTAATATTGTATTCCCTGAAGAAATTCAATGCTTAGCATGTATGGTACATTCACTGAAAAGCTGAAAACTGGATGATTTTTCTGTGTATTCAAAGTTATTGTCAGAATTAAGCTGTGATGCTTCTGTTACCACCGATCGTCTTTCTGATGTTTCTACAACCTGACTGGATTTTTACATCCAGAAAAAATGGCTAGAAGGGACTGTCTGATGGTTAAGAGTGAAAGAGATCACACAATGGTTGCAGAATAAACACACAAAACATACAAAGGCTGCTGTTTGTGGATACGCAACAATAAACATAGTAAATGGCAGAAACATCCAGAAGGTCATTGCTAATGCAACTCGCCTTTATAGTGGACAAATTAACACAATAAGCAGCTTGAATGTTATCAGAAAGCACAAAAATGACCTGGTCTGAAAAGAATATCGACGTTTTTGATCTGGAATGACTCCAGCGTACTGTGGAAATGTTTATGTCCTAAACCAGGTGGACCACATTTCTGCAGGCGTAGCCCAGAACACCAGAGGCTGCCAGTCCTGACTGGTGATGCTCATCTGCATTGTTTTTGCTTTTGATCTCCTTTTAAATTTGCAAAAGCAAAAAACAAAAAAAAGATTGATGTGAGACCTGTTCTGCGCTTTATACATTTATGATCAAATTCCGTCCCTTATGGGTTAATGGCAATGTTCATAGCACATAAAAAATAGCATATAATTATTATTCCTTGAACATAACCTGGATAATTATGGTTCCTGTTGTTATTGTTCCTTTTGTACTAATCTAACCGGTTGCTGGATCTTGGGGCAGGGTGTTTTTTTTTAAAACAAGAAAAATGCAAGAATCCTCCAGTAACACTTAAATCACCTTTAAGTTGACCATACACTTTTATCTAAACATAATAAATCATTTCACTGCATTGAATCGTTTCAACAACTGCAGCTCTATCCATTAAAATGTTTTTCATATTTTACAAAAAAAAATTGTTTCTGTTTTTAAACCTGACTTTTCGAAGGAGAAAAACCCTCAACAATTCAATATTTTCTAAAAATAAACTGCACTGATTTTTAGGCCTTGTTATTTTTGGAGGAATGGTACTCAAAAGCAAAAACCGACAGTCTTTACCCAAAACGGTACACTTATAAGTGTAATAAAAATCCAATAATGATATTGATAACCTAATGAAAAAACAAGCAGGATCTTCCATTTTGAGCCAGTAAGGTGCCTCAATGATTAACAAAAGTCACTGAAACATCAGATTTTTAAAAAGTTTTCAGCATTAATCTACTCGGTGTGTCAAATTTTTCCACATGTTTCAGTTTAATAAAGGAAGTTAAATTGATTCACGGCATCTTTAGAGTCGATATTCCGCTGTAACATGTATTGTTAGCTTCTCTAATCCACCGCATTTGCTTTTACTTCACTCATTTAAATCTGTCTGGCCGTGTGGTTAGAAAGCCAGGGTATCTTTGCAAATTCTTCTATTTTGCAAAGATTTACAGTTAGTGGAGGTTCTGCAGGGTTCAGTTTATTGTATCATCACGTAGGAGCATATTTATTTAACTGCTGCATTTTGACACTTATCAGCAGTATCTGCTGTGCAGCTGCAATCTTTTGTTCTCACTTTCTTTGTTGACGCCAGAAAGCATGTTTCTCATTCCTGTTCCCAGAGAAACAGCGAGATGTCCAACGAGCTGGTTGTGGAGGGAGGCGATTCCCCCACCCAGATGGACGCCATCGAGGAGCTCCAGGTGGAAGAGGAGGCGGAGCAGGAGTGAGCGTCCAAAGCACAGGAGGACAACCTCGATGAGGAAGGTCTGCAGAGGACGAGGTGGCTCGGACTGGGGAAAACGTCCTCGTCGTGTCGACCTGCACACTATTGAAACGCACACTGTAAAGAAAGCCATGCACCTCCAACCCATCGGTGTAAATACTGTCCCTGGTTAGCCCTGTCCCTTTAGCTGGGTGTTTCCATATGTTTTCACTGGTTAGAGGGAAACCGACACTGGAGAACCTTCTCCTCAGCAGCAGGAAGGATGAGCCGAGTGTGGAGTTGCCAAAAAAAAAAAAAAACTAGAGCTCAACATTTGGTTACTTTATCAGTTTAGATCTTGTTGGATTCAAATGCAGACACAATGTGGAAATTGTTGGGTTGTGCAATTGTGTTTTACATACTACGGTGTACAGATTATTGTTTATATTGGATTGTGTATATTTAATTGCTGCAAGGGGTCAGGAATCCCTCATCAAACCACTGCGTGTTCAAGAATAGCTCTGTTTCCCTTTCAGTTCAATCTGGGAGTTGGACCCACTTTGTTTTGCCAAACCTTTTTCCTGCTAGTATTCAGACTCGTGCTGTACATACTGTATAGGCATTCTTATTTACAAATAAATTGCTTTATTATTATTAACCTTTTCTGTTTTCTGGAATTATTGAAAACTCATAAATTTTAAACATGATTGAAGTCAGGACTTTCCTGCTTTATTCATTCCTAACTCGGGTGTGATGCGTGTTTGGACCTGATCGTGTCCAAGTTTCAAATTTGTCAACTTCAGATTGACGATGATGGACTGAGATGGTTTGGACAAAAATGTTTGAAGAAACATGAACCAAAGTTTAAAAGTCACTTATTTTGCATCCTTAGACAGGTTGGGATATGTGTGGGTTATGCAAAATATGTTCACATTTTTTATGTCTGTAAAGCTTAAAAAGCATCAGTAGAGCCTGCTGCTCAACCAACAAGAATACAGTTTTTTTTTTTAATCTACTGGCCTTTTATTTGAAACAGAATTGACAAAGTGGGAAAACATGGCGGGACTTGAACCTGTGATGACTGAGGCTTCCATCATGTGGTCCATCTCTGCCATATCGGCTGTGTGATGAACTTTGTCAACATGAACAGAAAATGGTCCAAAACTTTTTCCAAAATGTTCCATTTATTTCAATGCCAATAAAAACTGAGTGCAAGGTCAGTCCTGCACATGGCATAATAAATCAGACAAGTTTTAGACTCGCACCACAAATGACCAACATTCATTCACATTGTGCATCATTTCTTAGGCAACATGGAGGACCAAGCAAGCCTTTTTTTTTTTTGTTTTAAATCCTGTGGCTGGTGGTTGAAGCTTTTGCCATTTTTTTATTTTTTGCAGCAACATCGTATCTTTCCTTCCTTCAGCTTGGTTAAAGGCAAAATGTTACTCACTGAGTTTGACACACACAAAACACACAACAGTTAGAAATCACGCTTCTGACATGGTGGCCGACGTTAATCCTCTGAGTCTTCTGATCCTGTTCAACTTGATCTATCAGTAAACCCTTCATTGACTAATTCAGCCATCTTAAATTAACCTTTACACCAAATGAAAACACTTTTTCCCCACCATCAAAACAATAAATAAAACAACAAAAATCCAGTGTAAACATGATAAATTCTTTTTTTTTTTTAATCTCAACTGTTTTCCTAGCCAGAAAAACTGATCTGGGTAGAACTGAGATGATCCAAGAAAACTGGATGTGTACAAATACCAAAGTAGAAAACAAACTTCTTATAGTACAGTGCATACAAGAGCATTAGGGGAAACATCTTGTACAGGGTCTCAAATCACATTTAAACAGGAGGTGGATACATTTTGGGATATTTGCTTCGGTGTCAACTTGGCTCAGACGAATGACGAGAGAAAGAAAAGAAAACCTCCAGCAGTGGTGAGGATGGATGAGAGTGGAAAACAAACCGGGAGGAAAATGTTTTTCTTTTCCCACTTTATTCCCTGTCCAAATAATTTAGTCACATTCTTCCATTGACACATCCATTCTTTAACTTATTGACTCATCCAGCCACTGATTGACCATATATTCATCCATTATTTGATCCATCCATCCATTCATGTGTCCACAGATTAACAAGGCATCCTTCCATCCCATTCATCCATCCATGGTTCATATTTTACAGCCTGATCTCTGTTTAAACATTTGTAGTAATTTTGTATTTATTTTGTTTTTAAACAAATTAATTGAGAAGTCTGGAAATTTGACATAAAAAACCCCCAATAGAAACCAAAAGTATTTAAAGGTAATAAAATTAACACATTTTCACCTCAGATGCTCATTTGTCTTTTGTAAACTGGTCTGATCCACAAACAAAGCATCATTGAATTAATCATTTCCCTTCCTATATTAATTAATTATAAACTGTTTTCTTACAGAACTAAAACACAGAGTAAATCATGACTCTGTTCATGAATGTTCAGTGTGATTCAGGTTCCCTTGTTTGCCATCATTACAGTAAAAAAAAAACCTTTATGGCACAAAAAAATAAGATTATGGCAAAAATAAAAGGAATGCTACGATGGCATGAACTCGACTAACTCAATGATCTGTTCTTCTCTTGAGACAAGCTAACAGCCAACCAGCCTTGGTTTGGTAAACATACACAGTGGAGAATCTGAGACTTTTTGGACAGAAGCCAGGACGAATATATCCCAGTATTCCACCTGGAGTTGGCATAAACGTGCCACTCTGATAGACCTGAGGGGCGTTTGCACAGCAGGTGGGCTTTCTGCAGCGTCAATCAGCTGGCGGTCAGCTCCCTGCCGGGCTCAGCAGTTTCAGCGACTGGCACGTTGTAATGGCGGTCGTCCTCCGTAACGAGGCACACGGACGGCCAGTCGTCCCGGTGGTCGTCCGGGTAGAAGGTGACGAACTCCTCCGTGTTGGCCTTGTACAGTCTGTAAGCCTGAATGGTGTGCTGCAGGGCATACCCGAGCAGGAACATCTCCACCTGCACAGAAAGAACCAAAGTACAAAAACAAATCTCTTCAAAAGAAGTTGGAGAGACGAACCAAACAGCAGCGTGTTTAATATGCTGCCAAAGCAAAAAATAATTAGAAGGTGGAGTGGTTTTGTGGAGGGTGTAGCTGGAAAAGCTTTCATTAATGTGTTGCAAATAATTATATTCTCAACAGCTAAAAACACAACTCAAGTAATTGCATGTTTCACTGAACACAGTGTATGAAAAACCCTCCTCCTGTTCCAACACACATCCATGAACGCTGCTTTTGTTTGCAGTGCAGGTTTTATTCAAATATACTCAACAGTTCCAGGATCTCTATTTGTTGCTCAACATACAAACCCAGAGAGCGGCGTGTGTTTGCTGTACCTGCTCCAGCCCGGCGCTGAGGCCCACATGCCTGAGGTGGTTGGAGAGGAAGGAGCGCGGGCAGCCGGACGAGTCCCGCGCGAACAGCAGCCAGCAGAAGAGAGGGACGTCTTGACCCTCTTGCATGCGCCTGTGCAGCTCTGCTGCTCTGCCCAGCATCAGCAGCTTCAGCGCCTCCAGCATCCCCAGCTCCTCCTCCTCGCCCTGGAACAGCCGCTCGCAGAGCTGCTGCCGCTCCGCAGAGCCGGGACACTCAGCAGCCGCCTGCCACTGGACACAAATCAGAAATTTACTTTGTGATCAAGTCAATTCACAAAGTCAACTTGCTTCTCTATACATCTAAAAATGATCTTTCTTTACTATATTTAAAACTAAAGGGGAAAAAACCCACTTCATTTGATTTTTTTTAAATGTCCTATAAATCAATTTTTTACCTCTAAAATGAAACAAAGTTACCAATATTTTGATATCATATACAATGTATATAAATTGATATTTTAAAAATACTGAAACATAATTTTTTCATTAATCTAACCCCATTCACTTAATTACATATTTTCAAACGAAATAAAACATATTTAAAATTATTTATCTATTAAAATAGACAAACTTGATTATGTGTAAGTAATTTTACTAGTTTTTAATTTTCCATTAAACAAAATTTTTTTAAATTGTACATTTTACATTAATTATGTTTGCACATATTTTTTATATATAAAATTTTAAACATATTTTTTTATGTATAAATTCTTTAAATACTAATCTTAACAACAATAATCATTAGTGTATTTATACTATTTAGATTTCAAAAGAAATGACTAAACATTTTTCTGATTGATTTACATAATTTTAAAACGTCATATAAATTTTTAAGTAATAGCTGATTTTGGTATCAAAATAAACAGAAAATAAAATTTACTACAACTTGATTATTGTTGATAATTAGCAAATCGTTTTACTTACAAAGTAATTTCAGAAATAAAAAAAATACTAAGGGATTCACAAGCGTGCAAAAAAAAAAGAAAAAACTACTAATTAGCTAAATCATGCTTAATAGGTGATTAAAACAAATCAGTAAATCACTCTAGCCAAAATAAAATCATAAATGTGGAAACTATGATTCTACTGCTGAATCAAATGATGTGCATGTTTAATATTAACTGGTTACTGATTGCCAGTAACTAGGAGTCTGGTTTCAGTAGTGGTAGATTATCCAGGTCATCAACCCTGTGGGGGCTGCATCACTAGAATAGATCAGTCTAAGACTCTAAAGCAGGACCGGCTTCGCTGGATTCATTCCAGGTTTCTGACCTCATCCTGCCCACACTGAGCTGCTGCGACTCCAAGGAATTTACCACAACGCTTTTGGTGCATTGATTTACGCGAAGGTCACCCTGACCTCAAAAATCTCACTAAGCAGGTGAAACAAACAATAACTCAAACACACAAAAGTGCACACACACCTCCAAATTGCTCATAGGCCAATAGCTGGGAGACAAAGGAAAGCTTTTAAGTTTTCCACAATGGCAATTTAATTGCAAACTGTATGTGTTAGGCTCTGAAAATGATGAGAAGGAGAAGGAAAAGGCACCACTAGTTGCTCATGAAGTTGCAAGTCGCATATAAAAAAATTGCAACAATTGAAACTGATGGCAGAGGCACAGGATTGTCCAAGTTTCAATTTTACAGTTTGTAGCAAAACACCGTGCTTATACAGACGCAACATTTTGGTGGGGAGGTTCAAAAAGAAGCAGTGAAATATCGATTTGGAGAATGCAAAGAACATCATGATTGCCTTTTCACTATAACCAAATATCTCAAATTTGTCGCAATCCAAAAGCAACCGTGGAGCCGCTTATTTTTCTGCTTTAATGAAAAACTGTCTCAGAAACACTTCAAAAAGACTCCAAGTTGTAAAGGTTTTTAATAACTGAGGTCTGATCCAATAAAAATTCCTTAAGGAGATAAAAAAAATAACTAAAATACAAATTAAATCCGCAAGCGGCACTGGAGGCCCTCGCAGCGAAGCGTGGGGGTTCCAGCAATCCCACGCATTCGCACAGTTCCTGCAGCCGTTCGCCAGACGACACGCCCTGAAGTCTTCCTCAGCTCTCCCTCAAGACTCACAAGCGCATTTAAATTGAATTGCAATTTCAAGCTATTGGGCTCTTGAGAGGCTAACAAAGGTTAATCCTAACAAGTTTACTGCAAATAAGATGAGGCATGTATGATTTGGAGCAATCTTTCTACCAGCAGAAACAAAGACTGCACTAACTGCTCCACCAGCTCTTTCCAACAGGTGACTTCCTGTTGGAAGAGGGCAGAGCTAAAGTGATGTTACCAGTTGACCATGTGAATGCAATAAGCTCTGGTGTGTGATGATACAAATGAAGTTTGATGCAGCCGGGAGCAAGTGTGGGGAAGTTATTCCACCTTGATGTTTCATGGCAAATGGTCAGATTTGAGGCTTGACCACACCCACATCCTTTGACATAGGAAAATTTCTTTGATAACTTTTGACCTTCGATGCCTCAAGACTGTGCTGACTGAGTTTGAAGCCTGGATCTCGAAAGCTGTAAGACGAGTTCGCTCAGATACCACGTCAATGAAATAGACAAAATGGCAGTTTTGTTCCAAAATGGCCAAATTCTTGTTGGGTTTAGGCCATGGGTCCAAGAGCCTTTTTTGTTGGTCCTGACAAGATCCACATGTGTACCAAGCTTCATATTCTGGGTTAAAGCATGGTAAATGGTGACGTTAGAATTTAATAAGTAATGCAGCCCTTTTTTTCCTTTTACATACAACTGAGTGCAAATAAAAACAGGTAAGGGGACATTTGTCTTTAACCTGCAGTTTGACTCAGTTTCTTTGGTTCTGCAAGTTTCTTCAAGAAATGTAGAGAGAACAAGAACAGTTGAATCTTTGCTCCTGTCTTCTATCATCAGTTACTGATTTGGCCGCCATATTAAGTTCCTAGATGTATCAGATTAAGTAATAACTATCCTTGATATAATAGCACATCCTTTAGCTTCAATCAACAATATTTCATTTATGGAAGCACATTGTGTTCACTTTTTCCACTTAGATAAGCTGAACTGTTACATCACAGCAGAGAAGTGACTTTGAGACGACCTTCAGGAGTTACCATTCTTTAAGAAATACCTTAAGAAGAAGCCTCCCTTTAATGTAAGGCAGTAATCAAATCAAGCTGTGTAGATAACTGGACTTGAAAAGCTCAAGGGTTTACTGGTGTTTTTTCTGAGCTGATTTGCAGTCAGTACCGTTTTCCGGAGCAGCTCCATGTAGCCCTTCAGCCGCTCAGTGGGATCTCCACTGCCGTCTCCAGGTGCATGCTGTTCAGGAAATCGCCACTGGCCGATCAGCCCTTCCTGCACCTCGAGTTTTTTTGGCAGCTGTAAACAGCAACAAAAAAAACCCACAGAAAGTTAAAATGATCCATTTTCAGTGCCTCAAAATTTTTTAAAACTATTTTGGTTTTAAATCCAGGAAAAGTGAAACGAGAGATTGTAAAATTTCACTTTGATCACTGTTTTAATAAAAACTAATAAAGAATTACTTAAATCAAGCTCGTATTTCTTGCTGGAAAGTTACTTTTGAGTTAGTCCACTTGAATTAAAGCAAAACTAAGATATTTGCATTAGAAGCTACACCAGAAATATTTGGTATAATTTTGTATTTTTCAGTGGATCTCAAAGCCCTGTTCTCATTACTGCAGGAAATGTGAGTACATCTGAATAGGTGTGAACGAGGAAAACAAGTGACAAAATAATGGGCCAAATTTACAGCAAACCATTGTGAGACGCTACTGGATGGATACCCAAAACATTTGATCCAAGATAGAGTTTACAAGGCTGCTTCTCCTAAATAATAAGGAAACATAACCTTCTAAATTAAAAGAATATTTTAAAAAATGTTTAAAAATGTGAACCTTTACCATTAGAACTGTGTCGTCTTGCAGCCACTGAGGTACCTGGACACTCTGGGACAGCACCTGGAACAAGGTGGCTCTCAGGGCGCAGTAGTTGTCCCCTCTGACTCTCCTCAGGTGGCTGAACTTGGCAGACATCTCTTTGTACCCCTGCAAAAAAACAAAACAAAAACAGAAGCCCCTCAGACGTTGACAGATAAACCCCGTCCACCTACAATGTGAAACGCTTCTTCCAAAGCCACCAACTTTTCTGATGAGAGCACTTTTGGCAGTGTTTCCTTTCCATTCCCTCTCGCTGTAGGACAGTATATCCACAGCTGGAGACAAACTGCAACTGTCCTGAACCTGTAAGCCTGGGAGCAGACCACATTTCAGGTCAAAAATGTGAAGCGGGCATATAATTTAGATATTTCTGCATCAATTTGAGGATGTAAAGGCAAAGCAGAAACTGAGAACATTTACTTTCTGAGTCAGATGTTTGCCGTGGTGTGTGACTCATTGCAGACAACTCCTCTTCTCCGCGGTACAAGTCTTCCTCGCTAAAGGAAAACAAGTATTTAGTCATTTTTATGATTTATTGCAGCAAAACTGAACCAATAAGTATACAGCTGGAGTTGTTTCCAACACTGGTGGAAGAAAGGTTTTATCTGTGTAGCCGGTGCAGTAGAGTACACGGAGTATTAACTAAATGCTATAAATAAACAGAACCGAAATAATCACTAAGGTTCCGCTCCTTAAGAAATTAGTGACACAAGTGTTAAGAAGAAAAAATAAATAAATTATATATATTTTAAACGTATTTTTCTGAAGATTAATCAGATTTAAAAAAAAAATTCATTCAACCACTTAAGCTCATCTTATACTATATTTTAAAAATTCAAATGATTAATTTTTAAACTAAAAAATCAAACATTTTATTGCTTGAATGCAGTAACAAAGCATTCCTTTAGTGTATGATTGATTATTTGTAGAAAAAGATACAGCTACAGCTTTAAAAAAAAGCACTTAGCTCGTCCCTTCCTGTCTGACTTATCAATAGTCTTGATCTGTTGATTATTTTTTGGATTAACCGATTAATAATTGGATAGCAAAAGGTGCTTAATAGGATAATTTTTTTGACAGAATTTGAACCAGGTGAAGCTAAAACTATGCCAATATGCGTTTTCTTCAGCAGGGACAGGGAAGCTGCTCAAAGTTAATCTGAAGAAGGATGAAGCTAAATGCAGGTGAAAACCAAGTGTTATAACGGCCCAGTCAAAGTTTAGACCTAAATCCAATTAGGAATCTGTGGGAAGACTTGGATATTGTTATTACTGCTCACAGATGCTATCCATCCGATCTGACTGAGCTTCAGTTATTTATGAGGAAGAAAGGAAGCTCAGCAGGAAAAGTTGAAGACTGACATGCAGCTGTAATTATAAATAACTAAAAGTTGGATCCTCACAGTATTGACCCAGAGGGGTAGAATAAAAAATTCAAATTTATTTGTGTTGGTTTATAAATCACACTGAAGTCTGAGGTTGTAACAGGACAATCTGAATACTTTTTGCAAGACAGGAACTGAACCCTGAATCCACTTGAGAACCAAACGCTGTCTTTCAGAGACCTGTCATCCAGATCATCTTCCAATTCTGCATTGGGCTCAATGTCAGCCTGTACGTCTGAGGTTCCAAGCTGCTCCTGGATAGAAGGCTGTTTCTCAACCTGAAGATCCTCCATCTTGATTAAACCATCCTCCTCCTTGTCCTGTTTCTTTTCTTCATCCTTCTTCTCCTCTTCAGGAACTTTTTCTCCAGCTTCCCCTGGAGGACTCAAACTCTCAGAGACTCTGTTTTCTTCCTGATTTGACTGTAAGCTGCAGAGAGAATCCACATTTATATTCTCTGTATGTTATGTACTGCACTTTAATCAAAAGCTGAAGCAATATAAAGCTGCATGCATGCGGTTTTTCTGCAAATGCTGCAAGAAAAAGATGTCAGGCAGTCTAAGAGGTTTCTTGCTCCCCCTAGTGGCCAGGAGAATTAATAAAAGAAACGTTTTTGTAAACATGTCTCTTGTTTTCATTCAACAAAGCATGAACCTGCTGACCTGTCCTTGGCATCTGCTGCACATGCGGCCTCTGGCGTCGTGTCTGAGCCGCCGGAGTCCAGATTCTCCTGAGATGGGCCGACTCCTGCGGGCTCCGATTCAGACGCAGGAGGCTGAGCGATAACATGGTCTTTTTGGTCTACATGATCGACGTTCAACTCCACAGAACTGCACACAGAAAGACAAACATTTGTGCTGAATGACAAAACATCAGATGAACTTAATCTACTTATAGATATGATTGACGCCATTAATCATTAAAGCAGCGGTGAACTTGGGACAGCAGAAAGCAAATATTATGCAATGAAAGAACTGGTAAACTATGTCATTACTGTAAGTACATATAAAGATGTTTATTTCAGTTCTCATATGGAATCAGTTCTTTATTCTCACAGCAGTTTACTTAAAATTGAAATATAATAGCAAATTCATCTAAATAATCTAAATATATACAAATAAAAAAAAAAATTCTAAAGAACATTCAACTCTGGAATTGGAAAATATTTATAATATCCAAAATAAGCAAACAAAATACCTGAAAGAGCAATGACTGAAATGGTATATGAAAATACAGGAACTAAAATTGCGTTTCAAAAAATATTAATCATGCAACTTAGACAGGGAAAGCAGGCAAAAGTGCCACTTTGGATTTATGTTAAAAAGAAAATAGTGCAAACATTTGGTGCATGCAGCAAAGATACTGGTTTTTCAGCAATATTAAAGGGGAGCATCTCTAACAATAATTGTCCAAATAGAAATTAATTCATTATGTGATTAATTGAATTATTGACACTTTTGTAACATAATATCTGAAAGCTCAGTGTGTGATAAACAGCAGAAATCAAACCCAGTTGCTGATTCAATCCTGATTAAAAGGTTTAAAATACAAACATGGACTAAATGATGTTTCCATGTTAACCTACCACCTGGGAGCGTCTGTGTTTGTCTCCTGGCTGACTGCAGAGATGGATGCCTCCTGAGCGCTTGGCTCTGGTAATGCGTCATTATTTCGTGTGAACTCCTCCGTCGGTTTGGCAGCATCGCCTCTTGAACCAGCGTGAGAACCGCTCACCGTATTGTCCTCGGATGGCGTGTTTGTCTCAGGAGGGGAGAGGTTTTCTGGAAGGGCAGATTTGGGTTCTGGTGAGACGGGATCCGAGAAGTTCTCCTGCCCTGCGGTTAGATGTTGTTTTTCTGTTTTCAGCTCTTTGGCGGCGGTGGCGGCCAAAGCTTCCTGGGCGTCAGGTGCAGAGATGTTTTTCTGCGTCTGACTTAAAGTGCGTTGATCTGCAGCGGCATCTTTCTGTTCCTCACGTTGCGCACCGGCAGTACTGTCTTTGCTCGGCGAAGTGTTTGACTCCTGAATGTTTTCATTTTGTAAATGTCCATTTCCCTGAGTGGCGTCAGGTTCTCTGTGTCTGTTCTGGCACTTCAGTGGCTCCTCCTTGGTTTCCTCAACACTGCAAGACATAACACAGATGAACAAAGGCCCAGAACACAACAACACGGCTGAAATCTTCAGAAAAGCACAAATAAATGAGCAGCATGACAGAGGTCTGAGGATTCTCCCTGAACTGGAGGTGGAGAGGAAGCAGAAAATCTTTCATCACTTCAGCCACTTTTTAATTATCATCTCTTGACATCTGTCACCAACTCATGAAATGACGCTACTGTTTCTTCTTAAACTCTTTAAGGACAGATGGAAGTCCCCCCAGCCCTGCTTGTGGCCTCTAACTGGAGTTAAAAGTTATTTGTTGATGCAACCCGTCCTACAGATACCACAAGGGGAAATTTGCCAAATCTGAAAATCTCTTGCTTTCATCACAAAGTTACGAAGTTCTCTCTGCTCCCAGACCAGTTATATCTTATAGATTTATTCACTAAGAATTCACTCAGCAAACAAAACAGAAGTGAGAAGAAGCTGAATCTCACCTTGGGTCTTCGCCGTTTTCTGGACCACAAGCACCAGCACCTGAGGTCTTTGAGTTGTCTTTCAGCAAACCGCTTCGTTCCTCCATGCTGCCGCAGGGAAGTTCAGCTCCAAAACAACAACAGTTCCCCATCTGCTCGGGGGGCAGGCAGACCTGGAGTTTTAGGAGTCCATGGCGGGGGGTTCAGGGTCTCAGGAAGAAACCATGGTGCTGTTAAGTGAATGTAGAGACATGTACAGTCAAAACATGAAGAATCAGTGGCAGAAAAATGAGATGGAGCAATTCAAGCAGCATAACGCTGCTCTAATTCAGAAGTTCCAGATTATTTAACGTGCAAGGATGCGTGTTTTAGATGCATCTTCTTCAGTCCATATTAGTCACATGACTGCATTACTTCCTCAGCACGCAACAGGAACTTGTTACTGACAAGTCAGACCAGGTGCTGCAGAAAGGAAACACCTAAAGAATGCAGGACATAATGGATCCTGAGAAACACTGATATGAAGTATTATTTTTAGATATAAACCCACTTTAAAACACACACAACTGTGTGTGACTCAGCCGCTCTTGCTGCCAAGATTCCTCTCAGCTCAAGTTTATTTGCATAGCTCATTTCAGAAGTTCAAAGTGCTTTACACCATAAACATAATACAGGAAGCAATTATGAAACAAGCAATAAACATTACATTTCGACACATGCCTTCATCATAAAGATATTAAACAAGAAGTGTTCCAAGATTGAACCCTGGGGTACTCCACATGCAACTTCTGTATGCACAAATTAAAAGTCATCCACTGACACAAAGAAGTCCCTGTCCTTCACGTTTATTTCCAGATAAACTGCGGAGCATTGCTGTTATCTAAATCACATAACACAAAAGCAGCTTCAACGACCAAAATAGCATTTCTATGGTATTTGCAAAACTGGTCTCATCAGATTTCCCGACATTTGACTCATGGCCCACAGTCACATCCTTGAGCCTTTAGAAACCACATTTGCATTAAAAATCTTGTCAATACTATTCTCTGTTGACGTCTAGATGTTCAAACTAGATATTAAAATCCCAGTTTAAGACACAAAAACGATTTGAACACCTACAGCTGGATGAGACAACTCGAATCAGCCAAAAGAAATACCTCAGATTCTTGTTTATGTTCATGAATTAAGAAGAACACCTGACCAAGCTACGCCTCATTGTTAATATTAACCCAAGGAAGTAGCATGAATAGTCACAAGCTAGGCAAACTTAACAGCAACTACCTGTGTAGTAAAACTACAGTGATTAGAGGTGAACTTACCTTGTTTTTGTTAAACTGGAGATAAACTCCAAGCCCTCAAAGTCATGAAGCTTCAGTTCTTGTTTCACTTTTACTGAGCGGAGTTAGCCAGCTAGCTGCTGTGAACTTAAAACACAAACACGAGTGACAGCAGCTCATTCAAACCGCAGCTGCCACAGTGGGTAGCTCTCCTTTCCAGCGTGTCACCGTCCGTCAACACGGAACATTTCTGAAAACATCCGTATGCCCCGTATTTTGAACGGAACATCTGTTCACGATGATCCCTAGCTTAGCCGGAGCAGCAGGTCATGGCTCTTGTGATGCGCCGCTCGCGACGAGCCGGTTCTTTGTGTCGGCTCGTTGAGCTGAACGACTTGATAGGATTTGAAAGTCGTGAAACAAAACAAGTATCTTTTTAGTTTCTGCTTTTGGTAGCTTCCTTTATGTGCTAGATTATCTTCCATCCTCTCACTGCATCGTGAACAATCTCCACTACATTCGCGAACGTTTTCTAAAGCACACTGTATTACAAATATTGTTTGTTAAGCATAAATTTAGTGTTGACAGTTCTCACAACATCAGGTCCTTTATTCTGTTCTGACAAGAAATCTTCCATTTGTTTATTCCACCATAATCCTCATTTACAGTATGTGGTGTCCAGAAAAACATTAATGGGTAGCATTAAAAATTAATTAGTTTAAATATAGGCTATATTATTTTGCTTCTTTGTAATGTGAGATGAAATCCAAAAGTGTACAAATATAACTTACCATACCACTTTTCATAGTGGATGTATGTTAAAGTAGCTCTAATTTGTTCTTTTTGTAGGTTTTTGTTTATTTTTATTTTTTAAAGTGTTGCATGGTTGAACTCCGGTTTTGGATGCTGTGCAGATCAAAGTAGTTTTGCTCTAACTCTATTTCGTTTTCACTATTATTTTGATGCACAATTGTCTCAAAATCTTAAATAATACATGAACTACAACCCCAAACCTCAGAAGAGTTGAAAATGAGGCTTCATGGATGCAGAGAAAAAGATCAACCACCCTCTTCCATTGATAATAATGGGCAAGGATCCCTCTGCCTGGATTTCTAACAATACCACCAGAAGATATTTGTGTTTTACATATCTATATTCAAATAACAAACAAATAATGAAAGCAGTTTTAGTTTAGAAAGCTAGAAAGGGATGTGAGATTCAGAATTTCCAGCGGTTTTGATTTATCCCGGCCAGAAAATTCGGATCCAAGCAAAGAACCGGAATTCCCATCACAACACCGCTCGGTTGGAGCGCATGACGTCATAGCCGTGTACGCCGACAATTTTGCTGCAGCCAAGCAGCTTTTGGAAAACCCGCCTGCTCGCAGCTGTATGTTTGTTCATCAATATTAAATAAATAAAAAAAAATATTTATAGAATTTTTGCATTTTTATTTAATGAAAAGATTTATAAAAAAATCAGGATGGATTGAGAAAAATAAATGATTAATCTTCTCAATGCTGCCTGCTTTGTCTAGATGCCCATAAATCTGAAGAAGCAGGTCCATGATAGAATATTTGGTAACTTTATAGCTAAATTTTAAATAGAGAACACAGCAAACATGTGGTAAACATTGTTTTTTATATTGAAAAATTTCCAAAATAACTTAGAAAACCTGTATATACACAGTATTTACATGAAACTTATTTCAGTTTTGTGTATAAAAGTCTCTAAATCTTAGTCAGATCAGAGCGGTTCAAGTATTGTTACATGTTCCTCAGCTCCTCTATGTGGCGGATCAGGTCCTGCGGCAGCTCCAGCTCTGACGCTAGATCCATGCAGCGCTGCACGAGGAGGGCCAGACCTTCGGCTGACCCCGAGGCGGCGCAGCTGGACTCACAGCGGAGATTCTGCTGATTATGAGAACCGTCCAGGTCCATTTTCTGTTCGCTCCTGCAGCGGTCCGTCTCTTCGCAACCTGCAGGTTTCACCTCCAGATCCTCCATGCTCTCAGAGACGTCGCTCATGCTCGGAGGAGGGTTCTCCAGAGTTTTTCTGATGCCGTCGATGATTCCCTCTTCGTGCTGCGTCACTTGCTGCAAGAGGTCGACCAGACGAGACGGGGCGGGCTTTTCTGGATGCTGGATCTGGCACCAGCACCATACAGCGCTGCCACAAAGAGGACCCAGAGTCAGAAATACAATGACACAAAGAACAGAGCAGGACAGGATACTACTGTGGAGGGAGAGACTTCTGTCACTGCAAAAACAAAAGAGACTCAGGATGTTTCTAAATGCAAACTAAGCGCTGACTAAAGAAAGCTAAAGTCAGAATTTAGGGGTTTTAATTATCAAGCTGAACCAATTACTTATCCTAGTTGGATTGCTTATGTGACCAAACTTCAGTTTGGTCACATAAGCAAACTGAAGTATTTAGACGTTTTACTGGATTGTAGAGGAATCCAGTAAAGTATTAGTATCCCCACTAGTATTTAGACGTTTTACTGGATTGTAGAGGAATGATGCACCTTTTGGCCACCAAAAAGCTTCTGGATGTTTACTTGATTGCTTCTCTAACCAGAAATAATTTAGACCGGTTAACTTCCTGCGGCCGGGTTTATGACACGGTTCTTACATTTCTGACAAAGTTCAGCTAAGAAGTTTAATATTTTAATGAAACTCGAGCTGCAAAATAAATAAATAAATAAATGTTGTACAACATGACATGTTTTACTACGAAGACAAAGAAAATGTTCAGATCTTAAAACAAAACCAATCCTCTTATTTATCCAAAAGATAAATTACACTTTTGTTGAGTCTTTTCTAGAAACATGGAAATTGAAGAAAAATAGGTAGAATCTGGTCTGTTCTGACCATAACATTTATATTATGAAGGCATGAAGAGTAGTTAAAAGCCTGTATAAAAGCCAAAAGGTTTAAAGGAATTGTATCAAATCTAAAAAAGATGATTTTGTGTAAACTTCTGATTGTAATAAGTCTGAGCTCAGGTCTCTTTATATTAGGTTGGAACTGAGTCTGCGCAGAAGACCCAGCGAGAGTATTCAGGAACCTTTGAAGAACGTTCCTGATGTCTAGAGTATCCCAACTGTCAGATTTGTTTCATATTCTTACCTCACAATCCCTCTGAGTCGACCCACAGCCACAGTCTGAGCTGCTCCTTCTCTGAATCCCATGTTAAACCCCATCTGGAGCGAGGCCTCCTCCCCGGCATTCACTCCGTCCACATAACCGTCCTGTTCAACACACCGAGCAGCAAAAAAACTAAACAAAACAGAAAACAACAATAAGCCATAAACTGAAGTCATAGAGGCACATCACAGTCTCAGCTCGGACAGGTGAGCTAAGGCTAACTTCACCTTGATCCGTTTCTTCATGTTGGATGCCCACTCTTTACTCTGTAAATAAAGATCGTCCGCATTCTCGTCGAACACGTCTTCGCCGTTGAACGACGCAGATTTCACCCAGGACATCACGAAATCAGCTTAAAAGTCCGGGTTTCTGTAACTTCCGACGTCTAAAACGCATTTGAAGAGCCGGTGGTGTAGAGGCCAATCTGGCTACCTCAGCAATCCCTTAAACGTGACGTCACAAGATGTTGCTAATTTATTTTATACCGCCACCTGCTGGACTGGAATGGAAAGCCAGATTATATCCAAAAGAGAAGGGGAAAAAAAAAGAATAAATAAAATAAAGTAAAAATAAATACTTCTGTAAATGAGCTTTATAAAATTCTGGTTGTTGTTTTAGCTATAAAAAGTGTATCTTTGTTCATTTCTTAAAATTGTTTGTCAATGTTATGCACCGCAAAATACAAATACTAGCTTTACAGCATGTGTACATACCGAAATCCACAAAACACAATAAAGACTGAATAAATGGAAACAAATGTAACAAAAACTAAGTTTTCTTTTTCACTTTCAATCACATTTTCAATGGTTTTCATTCTGATTTTTGATTTCACTGTTTATGAAGGCAGTTTTACATATTTCTCATTTAAAGAATTACTATGATCTTTTTCTTATCGCAAATCTAATTCAAGCATCAGCAATTTCTGCAAAATTCAATATTGATTTTGTACTACAGACATAAAACCTGTCAGTTCTATTTAAGCCGATACGAATATTAATTATTTTAAAGCGCATTTGTGTAGTGTTTGGGTTTGGTCAGTGACTTTTACTGATAAAACCTGCAGAGGACGCTGCAGTCTCACTTTAAAAACGAATGAGTTTTCGCATTAAAATCCAATAACGAGATTATGTATTAGTTCCTTTAAGTTATATTAGTTTCTTTTTCTTTTAAATCCACCAAATGTTTTCATTTTTATTTCATGTTAAAATGTTGCTAGATTTTATTTTTAACGTACTCATAATTTATTAAAAGTAGCCTATTTTATACAGTTTTATCAGACCCAAGATTTTGAAAAAGCACAATTTAATTTCACACCATTTCCCCCATTTTAAAGGGAAAAATAGGCGTTTCTTATGAATTTATACTGGATAAATATCTGACTAAAATAACATTAAGTTGTTTAAATTTTTTGCTTAAGAATACAATAGAAAATAAATGCACTGTGTAAAATAAATGTGCACTTCATTCAAATGAATGTGATGTGTTTTAATGATTTAATAGTGTATAAGAAAAATAAATGAAAGATTTCATTCTTTGATATTTTCTCTATTAAAGCAGTAAAATATGTTTCAAGAAAAATAATTTTATATGCAGCGTTGTTTTTATGTCCAGCAGATTAACAATGCATGCAAAACAATGACTGACAAATACATTGAGTTTACGTTTCCACGAAAAATATGCTGTTAGAGCATCAGGAGCATAAATGGTCAACTCAAATCACCGTCCAGTGCATCTTCTGCTTAACTTTTCAACACAGGGAAATGTCATCTGTCATGACAAACACATTATTCACTCATCAATAATGCATCCTGTCACCTTTTTTCCCACTGTTGAGTACAGAGTGAGGGGAGAATAAAAATCCCTCTTGCTTTTTTTTTTTTTTAAGATTCTCTCATTCCTCATGCCAGGCTTTATGGAAAGAAAAAAACAACATAGGAGAGAGTGGATGGAAGTTAAAATGCATTTCACCTCGGTGGAGTGCATTTGCAGCTGCTCGGACAACAATGGCCCTGAGGATACAAGGAGGCCACAGCGGAGTTGTCCCTGTTCTGGAAATGGAGTCGGCCCGCAGGCCTGGTTCGCGGGCGCCACACCTTAAAGTCCGCCTCCTCCACCTCCCCTCGCTTTGCTTTGGAGAGTCAAAACAAGCAGCCGGGGCAATCACCTGACACATTTCCATCCAATTTCCACTGCAGAATGTGTTCATTTTCAGCCTAATGGCATGTCATTTTGCAGGAGCCTTTGGTCAAGAATTAATCCTGGAATCAAAACAGATTTTCCGGGGAGCAATCTTCCATCAAGTATTGATTTTTTTACACTCACGGAGCCTGTACTCCCTAATTTAACCTGACAGCCAGCAGCACAATGGACTGGGAGCACCTTGGCGTCTCGCAGAGGGAGCTCTCCTCCTCCTTCTTCTCTCCATGAAGTGAAAGAGAGATTGGGAAGAGGGTAAAAAGGACTCCCAGATGTCTAAAACAAAGAGCATTGCTTACAGAAAACAGAGATAAAGCTTCCGTCTCTCTGTTTTACCTCTAATTATGTTTTCAAGGATAGTGCAACTTGGGCAGGTAAAGGCTGAGAGGGAAGAGGGGAGAGTGTTCTGGGGCCATCAGCTATCATTATGGGCCTGTTGACATCTCCCTGTCTTTGAGTGATTCTCATCTGTGATTTCCCCTGGCCATTTTCCACAGATGCACGAAGAGGGGTTTCATCATGGCGCCATAAAAAAGGCCCAAAGTGTCCGCACAAGCTCCCACTAATAAGAAAGCAAAGATGTGTCCGACCATGTCACTCCTCTCTCCCATCCATATCCGCTCTCTTAAAGCCTTCAGATATGCAATCATTCTCTTTTCTCCCCTTCTTCCTCTCTGTCTCCCTCTCCATATGGGCTGTAAGTATACTATACCCTACGTTAGAGGTCAGCGGGATGAGAGGATGATGGAGGGCAGGGCCGGTTATTTTCCTCTAGCTCTTAAAGCTGCAATGACCCATGCGCAGGAGAGTTGCACTTTTGCCAAAAGGTTTTTTATGCGTTGCTTACAAACTGCCTAACAGGGGGGAAACTATTTCACTTTTTATCTGTTGCTCTTAACTCTTGATCAACCATTTCAGATAAAAAAAAAAAAATCTTTAAGGATGTTATTCTATGGTGGTTTTTATGGATTTCTGCAGTTGATTTTAAAGTGATAGACATCTAATGACTGATTCCTGCATATGTTTCAGTTTAACATTCGTTTTTGGTGCTTGGAATGAATGAAATGAGTTTCTCCACTCAATAATTTGTCTTTTTAAACTGTAGAAGGCTGTGAAGTGCTCTTATATAAACTGTTCATCAGCATTAAAAGTGATCAAAGTATCCTTTTCTTGCAAATTAACTTTGTACTGCAGTCAAGAAGGTGCATGTCGTGAACTTTCACCAAACGAAGTAGACAAATACAAAATCTGATACAGTAAGTTTATGTAAAAAGTAGTTTGAAAAAAAACCATAGGTCTCATAAATACTCATATTGAAAATGAGACATTTGTGATCAAAATTTTAACAAGCCAGCTTAGCTTTTGACTAGGCCTGTCACAGTAACAACTTTTACTGAACGATAAATTGTCTCAGAAGTTATTCCGATAAACGATGATATTTTGTGTGGAGACCATTTTCAAGTATTCAAATAATTGTGGCCTTTAATGTTGGAACTGAAAGACATTTTAAATATCCTAAATAAATAAACAAAACAATAAATCACCTTAATTATAAAATCTCTGTAAACAAAAAAAGCACCAGCCTGAAAACTTTGATCATCCAGTTTTTGTTAAAAAGAAAGAAAAGAGAAATTATTGAGCTCATTTTATTTTGTAATCTGATTAACTGATTTTATTGCAGCTCTCCTTATCTTACCTCCTTTTGGACTCTAAGGCGCAACTAATCTGGATTTATATTGAGCAACACAGATTTATCTATTGCAGCTACGACTAAACCTCACTTCAAGTATTCTGAAATATTTAAAGAGAACTTTTAAACCAAACTGTTGCTGATTGTTATTTTATTGACTCTGGGTGGAAGACTGAAGGTAGGTATGCAGCTTCTCCTGTGTTGAGATACTTTTGGAAAATCTTCCTGTTGCTGCGTGAAAATAGAGACATCACACACTAAAGGTGTGCATTCAAAAACTCGCTTGCTGCAAAGTTAAATGGACTATGGGCCGATGCAATCAGCTGCTCAAGTCAGACAGGTGTCTCTGTAAAGAGCTGGGCTATTAACTCTTCCACCTGCAAATACGTCACTGTGTGTCATTGCTAATAATGCTGGAAAAAGGCATAAAGAAAGAGAAACAACAGTGAAAGCAAAGGGGATCATATGCATGGCCGACCTCGATTGCATGTGAGGATTGGTAATTGCACCCCCAGAGGCATCTGGGTGTGCAGAGCAGCAAAGTGGGAGACGCCTGAGCAGCTCAGGCTTCACAGCCAGTGTAGCAACATCTCAACCCTGAGGAGGAAGTGAAAACAAGAAGGCGGAGGAGTGGAGGGTGAGGGATATACAGACAGTTCATTTACCCAGAACATCAGCCCCGCCGCACATTGTCTGAAAGATAAGGAAAGCGAATGCTTCATGCCTGATGGAAAACAAAGGCAGCAATTTAAAACCATCTGCATCCAACATATGCACTCTCTTCCTCCACCCTTCTGTTTCTGTGTCCTGGCTGATATTGAAACATAATCCATTTGGAGCGCCGACATGTCATTATATTTCCACCCGGCCTCCCCACTCTCCATCCGGGACAATTTCAGGTGGCTGCGGGTTGAGCAGGAATGTTTCATTTCTACAAGTCAGACGTTTGGATTCTTCAAGGAAAACACAGACAGGAAAGAAAAAAAAAAAAAGAAGAAGTGGAGTTTAAATCCTTAAAGTGAGCTTAGCTGCTCCTCTTAGCTTCTGCAGGTTCAGGGGAAGAAAAAGAAAATCCACAATAAATCACAAAGATTCAGAGATCAAAACTTGTCTTTTCTGCTCTGCTGTCTTCCCTAAAAAACATCACACATCACAAAGGCTTTGGTGCAGCCCTCAAACTACTGTAGCTCTTAGATCTCTGATGAGTAAAGATAGAAAGTATAGGTTTTCCAAGACAGAGTTTTCTAACTAAACTTTATGTTCTACTTCGACTCACATATTTATTCCATGTTTATGCTGCATTATTTCTACTGCACTACTGTACTTGAATTTCGTACATTAGGCAGTCATGAGAAAAAGGTAGGACAACGATGGCCTGTGTGCTCAATTTATACTGAAAAAAAAGTAAGAAAATGTCATAATGAGGTCTAATAAGAATGAGCTGCATGAGGCAGCTCATTCCAAAAAGAAGATTTGGAACATCTATTAAGATATTTAAGGAGGTTGTGATGTTGCACCCGCTGTGTCCTGATGTAAAACACATTTTTTATAG